ATTTAAAATAACCTCGCATCATCCTGGAGAGAATAAAGAACGCACTGGATGCAGAATTCCGACCAGAACAAGCTGGATTCAGGAAAGGCAAATCATGTTCTGACCAAATTGCAACTCTACGCATCATCATCGAACAAAGCATGGAATGACAATTAAACCTCTACCTCAACTTTATAGACTTTGAGGAGGCCTTCGACAGCGTTGACCGCGAAGTAATTTGGGAACTACTCGAGTACTACGGCGTACCCCAAATATTCATCAACCTTATTCAACAGTTGTACGACAACGGTACATGTCAGGCGATCCACAACGGAAAATTCAGCGAGGCGTTTGCAGTAAACACAGGAGTCAGACAAGGGCGCTTATTATCACCAATGATATTCCTAATTGTGGTGGACTGGATTATGCATCAGACGGTGGGAAACGATATCCTTGACCGACATGAAGAACCTAGAAGACCTGGATTTCGCGGATGATTTATGTTTGATGTCACACAAAATCGAAGACTTACAAGCGAAAACCGACAAACTGGCCGAAGAAGCAGCAAAGACAGGATTCCAGGTGAACATAGACAAGACGGAGGTTATGAAAATAACCAACCAACAACAACAACAACAGCAACATCCAGCACCAATCACCATCAACGGGAGGGATTTGAAAGAGGTCACTTCATTCACTTATCTAGGGAGCATTGTCTCAACTACAGGAGAAACGGACGGACGAGGATGTCAAATAGAGAATCGAGAAGGCGAGAAACACATTCACCAACCTGAAACCATACATATATATGTATATATATATTCAAAATCATTTTTAAATATGAAACAGTTTATCTAGAGCATGGTGATCACGTCTAAATTAATGTACGAGTCGAACACGTCGGTTTCGAAGGAGATGGTTTACATCCAATCGCTTCCAGGTTTGAGTCCCATCTCACCTGCCCCACAGCTTGGTCAATTTATCGGTATCATATATACAATAAATGTGGCTCCAATTCTGATATACGAGAAATATGTTCCGCATACCAGAGTTCAAATAAACACCTGCCAAAGTGGAAGAAGTTGAAAAATTACAGACTACTAGATTATAACTTGACTGACTAACTGGTTTCAACATAGAACCTTGCATAGAGGAAGACAAGTGACAGAAACAAAGATTCAAAAGGATGATAATATGCCGAAATGTAAGGGAATAGGAATAGTAACATGGAAAAACAATACAGCTTTATTGGATATGACAAATCACAAAGAGTGAATGCATCTGCCCCAGCCATTCAGAACGATCTTCAGCCATATCACCAATTGCCTCCAGCCTTCATTGGTTTTTATCATCCCGAGGACGCCAACCAGGAAGCTAGTCTACACCTCTCGATGTGGCTAGTTCAAACTAACCAACTGTCATGGATTTCATTGACTGACGAAGCCATGTATTCGTTTGACCACAACCACCACTAGCTCTTTTCCAACCTGATCCATCCTATGTCAGCTAACATTGCCCATTGTGGAGAGTGACGACTAGACACGCGTATCACATGCCCTAACTGTCTCAATCGATGCAGCTGCTTCACAACCTTATCGATTGATTCCCCCTCATTACCTAGCACTCGACACCTAACCGCAATATTACTCACCCTGTTATGCCACGTAAGATGGGCGATAGAACGCAGACATCTATGATCAAAAACAGCTAGCCTTCTCATGACTTTCACTTTCAATGACACCGTCTCAGGACTGAGTCAGAATCCATTCGCTGCAAAGCCTCACTGTCTTGAATTCTGTGATCGTTCATTAACACTGCTGAAGATCAGTAACAAATTAAGAGGTAACAATTGCTATGTTGTGATTGTTTTTTTTGGAAGATTTTTGAAGGATTGATTAGTCTTAAACTAGTTAATGCCAAGAAAACCAAAATCAGTTGGAGAAAATTGAAAGTCACTAGTTGTGGGACAGTTATTCCATTTCATTTCATTTCAGTCATTTAGCGAAAGAAATTATTGACTAAATTGGAAATCAAGTTAAAAGAAATTATTATACACCTCGCGTTCTCCTAATGAAATTTCAACACACAACAGTTTATATAGACTGAAGCCAAATTTCACTGACTGATGTGACAATAAACTTGACCGATTCATATTACTGTTGTTTCCAGTCGTCAGGTAGGCGGAATAACTGTAAATAACATTCAATTTTATGTTGGGATAAGCCAAGAAACCATATGTCTGGCTTATCTACAGCCACGTTAGAGTCAGCTTTAGTCACAAACACCCCACAAAAGTATCACGCATCGGAGCGAGTAAGTTATTATTTAGTTACTGGATAGAATAACAATGTTCTACAAGTTCCATAGTCTTTCAACTCGCGATAAACTATCATAAGGCACTAAATATTCCCATAACCGACCTTATGGAACCATAAAGACACGAATAGGATCACTGTTGTATAATACAGATTCTGATATGCTGCCTAAATTCTTGCTCAGATGCTTAGGAAGTTAACTAAGTCTGCCTTACTGATAACATTCACTAGGGAGTAACTAATGTCGTGTGTGTGTCTAGTCGTTTCTGTTGGTGCTGGCTGAATTCTACCAGTCGACTTTGCAGTGTGGTCACACTAAGCTAAGTGACTCGCCACAGAGGTGCACTCTGAATTTATGTTGGAGGTGATCGGTAGGAAGTAACAGACGTAAGTTCTGTGCTTGTTGACAGAAGTCAGCAACCTTGGAGGAATTAATGTCCCCCCTAAGATTTGAACCCGTTGCACCCAGTGACAGACGTTAACACTGAGCTATTCGAAATCACAACTCACCTCCTATAGAACTGTAATACATTGATCATCAAGGAGTAAACCATGTTATGCGTTTAGTCAGTTACAGTCTGACAGATCGATTGTAAGTTTGAATAGTTCAATGGTAAAGTCTCTCGCTACAACGATGGGTGGCGCAAGTCCCAACGCCAGAGGGGATATGAGATCCTTTAAAGCTGCAGGTATGCGCTGCTGATGAGTGCTCAAAAGCGCGAGACTTAGGTTCATGACTTCCTGTCGATTGCCTCCAACCATCTAACACATCTTATTCTTCTTGTTTGTTTCCTAAATCAAAAATAAGTATGGTCCCCTCTGAGATAGAGTTTATAAGCGTTAAGTAACTAGAGACATCTGCATCACCAAATCAGTGTTGGGGCCAAAAAGACCACATAGCAATAGGCTATCGATCGCAAGGGTCAGCAGAAGACTGCCGCTCCTTCTGGAATACTTGCGTAGACTCTGATCACACCCTGGTTCAGGCACGTTTATGCTTACGATTAAACGGACAAAAAGCTATTGGCAGCTCTCAACTAGAGATAAAGACAATGAGTCCCCATTTAAGGAAGATATGGCTAAACGCGTATCTGAGATTGACAGCAAGACCCACGAGGACGCCTGCCACAACATACAGTTAACTGTAGACAGAGCTGTTAAGGCTGTTAATAGCCTAAAACCAAAAGTTAGTAAGAGCCAGTGGATTTCTACTACCTTATCCCAACTGATTGACACAAGAAGACTGATTCCGGCGAGCTCCGAATATGATGAGGAGCGAAAGCTGCTCAAACGCAAATTGACAAAAAGTCTTCGCAACGACCATGAACAGTGGTGGGCGACAAAAGCGAAAGAGAAGGAAAAGGCGTCGGCGATAGCTAACACCAGACAACTATTTAGTGTCTTACTTTCTATAAGATACCTTGCATTAACTGTGAGATCAGCTGCATAGGAAAATTCAGTAGATCAGGGTTACCTAGGTTGTTGGGACATAAGAATTTAGTTAGGTGTAGCATAACAGACCCCAAAAGGATAGCTACCTTAGAGAAAAACTCGGCTATCGTAATTTATAAACTTACATACAATCATAAAATGGGGTGGGACAGTACCGCAGTTCAGCAAGGTGATATAGTTAGATCACAGGAGAAGTTGATCACTGAATCTTTGTTTATCCAATCTAAACCGAACACTTAACAGAGGTATGACGCAGCACCGATAATGGTGATATCCAAAAAATAATAATAATAAATCAAAGGATAAGAAAGAAAATCACATAAACTAAATTTGAAATTTGTGTCATTAGTTTGATTATGACCAATAAATTGTGATTGAACACACTGTTCTAAACTGATATTTCCAGTTCCACTATCACCCAATCCCACAGCGGAATTCGGTGAATTGGATTTTGCATCTGGTAATTGACTGCTTTCAAAATAGCACTTTGCACAGATATGCAGCAGTTCGAGCTGCTGTCACAAGGAGTGGATGCACTCCTACATTTCTACTTTCTTCTCTTGCTTTGTGTGCTACATAGAGTGTGGCGACTTGAACTCTGCTGCACATCGGTGCAAAGTTCTATATCGAGAACAGACAGAGCTGCCACTCTCCATGCACCAAACAAAGCAAGAGAAGAAAGTAAACGGATACAAAAGAAAGATAATAAACTTAGGTAGTGTGAAGGGAAAATAGTAGTAATAATAATATAGAAAAACAATAGGGTTTTATTGTACATCATAAATCACAAAGAGTCAATGCATCTGCACCGTTGAGAATGCTTTGGAGCCAAATAACCAACTGTCTCCAGCCATTGGCTTTTACCAGCGCGAGGACACAAACAGGACGCCAGTCTACACCTCTCCACATGGCTGGCTTGAACTAACTGTCATGGATTTCACTGACTGACGAAGCCATGGTTTGGTCTAACCACCACTAGCCCTTATCCAACCTAATCCATCCTATGTCAGCTAACACCGCCCATTGAGGAAGGCGATGACTATACGTGCGTATCACATGTCCTAGCCATCCCAATTGATGTAGCTTCACAACCTCATCGAGTGATTTTCCCTTCTTACGAGCACTGGACGCCTAACCTCAATATTGCTCAGCTTATCATACGAAGTAACACGGGAGATAGATAGAGCTTGCACTAGGCCCAAAATAAACATAGTTAAACATATAAGGAAATAAAAAAGTAAAAAACAACACAAGTGTGGGGGAATTTTTATTGGTCAAAATGCATACAAACAACTAAAATTTAAACCATTTGCTATAACCTTTAACACGCTGAAATTTCTCAGTTTCTGGTTTAACTTGGTTGTCAGTTGATAGGATAACATCCTTTGATTCATCCTTAGGTGTAGAAGCATTCTCATTGAAAGTTTCCATAACATCTGATGGGCGTTTATCTTTAAATATGTCTGGAAAAGTGAATACTTCACCTGGAGCCTTGTTAAGAAAAAAAAGTAGGTGATAAGATATTGTTAGGTTAAGTGGAAAGTATATTAATAATAATAATAATTTGCTTTATACCAAAACAGTGCTTGTGATACAGAATGAAATTCTCACCATTTCACTACAGTATTGCATCCAGTTTGTACATTAACAATAAATAAAATTCTACATAGATTATGGGTAGTCTCGGTTAATTTTGACAACAACATATTAGCATATCGGTAACAAAGCCAAAAGTGAACAGAATGTTTGAAGGTGTTAGAAAAGTAGATACACGCATATTTACTGGCGTAAGCCGTAACAAAATGGTCGAGATATACAGAGTGTGAAAGAACGAAGAATGTTTTAAGTAGAATTGGTAAGGAAGAGAGAAACAAAACAGCTCATTACCAAAAAAAAAAGAAAACCTTGTACTTATGAATGATATGAGTTGGAAAGACGAGATCCAATTGTTCTACTGACTATTTAATAAATTATAGGTGTCACGCCTAATGCTTTTTTTATCGCACAGAACACGAGCCAAGTAGGGTATGGTTTAGTTTTTGCACTTGCTAGTGCGAGCATTTAGTTTTCTATATAGGCCTCCTTCCTTGTTTGGAATTACTACTGATGATTTAGATTCCTTATAGTTGGTATCGTCGGTAGTAATTCCATACAAGGAAGGAACCTCGGAAACCTTAAGCAGAATTCTTAACAAGGCAGGAATATAAGTGGCTGGCATTCAAACCCACAAACTCAATTAGAAACAAGTTTTGTTGGTTAAAGGATCAGTCCTGTGGATCCAATAAAACAAAACGATTTGGTTTATCTAATACCCTGCAATGATTGTCAGGTCAAAGTAGTAGAACAGGGGCAGTCAGACTAGCGGAGCATAAAAACCTAGCAGCAAAATCTAGATTGGTTGATCCGAATAAGACAAGAAATCTAGAGAACAGTTCAGCTATACCACTCACTACATGCAATTACACACAACCATACAATAGGATGGCATAAGATGACAGTTTTAAAATCTAATCTAATGTAACAGGGGGGAGGGAGAGATTGATAACAGAAGCTTTGTTTATCGAATCAACTGCAAATACGTGTAATAGGAATGCTTCAACACCTATTTCACCCAGACATCTGGAAAATTCTACTGCCCTCACGACAAATAGGAGAAAACAAAGAAAACTCAAGTTTCAAAGTCGTGTGATTACAATCGATATGATTATGAACAATAAATTTTGTTCGAAACGTCATCCATTAAATAATACTGTTTCACTGTGTGATAATAAACAAACTAATATGGAAAGATGCTACACATCCGACAACTTACTCAATCTCAGGTGCATGTTAAAAATACTAACTGGGATTTATACAATGAAAGTACATTCGATGACACAATCGCCGATATAACGGACTATCTTAAGTTCTGCCTCGATATTTGCGGTCCTAAACCGACACTATTCAAAAGCTTCGACAGCTTTTCGTCTCCTCGTCTCAAACAACTACGCAGGCAAAAAGAAACGTTATATAAATCCAAAGATAAGTTAGGACTTAAAAAGATTAATGCTCTCATCAAATCTGAAGTCAAAAATCTCAATGCTATGTATAGTCACACACTTCTATCATGCAAATCTCCTGCAACATGTGGAAACTTTTCAACGAAATTACTGGCAATGGTGAGCGATGCAATGTTTTTTCCTCTTATGATGTTAACGCTCTTCATCAGTCTTTTGTACGCTCTCCTTCTACTATAATTACTTCTAGTGTTACAAATCACGCAGTTGATAACTTTTATGACTTTAATACTCTTGATGTTCTAAAATGTCTTGAAACGCTTAAGACCTCACGTAGCCTTGGCCCTGATGGTGTACCTACTTATGTTCTAAAACAATGTGCAGATGCTTTATGTTCTCCACTTACTAACATCCTAAACGTTTCTTTTTCCAAAAACGTTGTACCTGTTGCATGGAAAGACATTAAAATAGTCCCTGTCCCTAAACCTGCAAATAGCAAGAATAGAAAATTCAGACCCATTGCCATTACTTCCCCGTTTCTAAAGGTGATGGAGAAACTAATACTTCTTAAACTAGAACCCTCCCTTAAAAGTTTTGAAGACCCCAGACAATTTGCATACAGACAGGGTAGGAGCACTTTAGATGCCGCAGCCGGTCTTACACAACAGTATCGTTTCATCATCAGATAAAGGTGCCAAATACGTTCGTTGCACGTTTCTCGACTTCACTTCTGCTTTTGACTCTGTACCTAGATGTCTCTTGCTAAATAGGCTCTCGATGACACAAACTGAGTCCTGGCTTACAAACTGGTTGCATTCCTATTTCTCAAACAGAATGCAGTACACTGTATACAAAGGTAAATCCTCCTCTGCTGTGTTCACTGAAGCTGTTGTCCCCTAAGGTGCTGTACTCTCCCCACTTCTCTTTTCTTTCTTTCTACATGACTTACCATCTTCAAATGACACTAATTTTGTTAAATATGCTGACGATCTGACTGTATCTTTGCCTGTCAAGTGTCAAAGTGAATACTCCAAACTAAATGGCTATTTATCAGAAATCAGCCAGTGGTCCAAGGAAAACGATCTTACCTTAAATCCTCCAAATACCAAACAGTCAATTTCGCCTTTAGGCATAAATCTGACCTAAACAAACTGGTTAGCTCTCACGAGGTGTGCAACATAGATGGCACTGAAATAAGAGACCAAGTCGGAAATTAAATATCTTGGCGTCATTCTATCTTCTGATCTTTCCTGGTCGTCTCATATCTTGATGATTTCTAAGAAAATATTCCGTCTCACCTCCTACATCAAGAAGTTAAGACATTCTGGAATAACCCAACCCTTACCCTTACGATTCGTTAACTCTTGCATCCTGCCATTATTCTCTATTGTTCCCCCTTAGTTATTCCAGGGCTACTGAAGAAGGACCATATCTTATTACGTAGGGTGTTAAAGGTTGTCAGCAGGGTAAGCGATGTGCCACTTAACCAGCTTGTTAATATTCTAGTTGACAGGTACTTGGACTCATGTGAAAAATGGGCTGAATCCATTCTATCTAGCTCACACCACCCTCTTCATTCATAACTCTCCCCTTGTATCTTATCAAGCAGGACCAGAAGCCTATATAGAAAACCATATGCTCGCACTAGCAAGTGCAAAAACTAAACCATACCCTACTTGGCTCGTGTTCTGTGCGATAAAAAAAGCATTAGGCGTGACACCTATAATTCATTAAATAGTCAGTAGAACAACTGGATCTCGTCTTTCCAACTCATATCATTTATAGGTACAACATTTTCTTTCTTTCTTTTCTTTTCATTCTGCAAAACGAAAATTGAAATAAAATAACAGTTATCCTTATGACATCATGAAATAAACAGATATCGTAATTGGCGATTTTTAAGTAGTGTGTTGACACTAACATTATGCACCTACTTCAGAGGTATCTTTGAAGTATCACCAGGTGTGTTTGAGAGGCTGAGGGATATTAGGCAACCTTATACAATTAAACGCTCCCTTGATAGCGAAATTTGTTAGTAGGGTATACTTTTTCTGTAAAAATCAGGCAATATTATGAAATCTCCAGAAGGACACCTTTACGACGGAGAATATCAGGAAATAATTCTACCCAGAGAAATTAAACACAGCTTCGATGTTAGGAAATACAATGACTGAAAATTCCTTGGCTACTGTGAAAATACGATGGATGCAACTCACTCTGCTTCTTACAAGCTCTTTTTACCTATCTTGTTTAGTCTAAATTTAATTCTAATGTAGCAGACAAATAATGCGGTGATTTTACATACACTTGTAAACTTTTTTAATAAATAGGTATGATAACCTTAAATAAGACTAGCCATGAACTGTTGTATCTTTTCGAACAGGTCAATTAGCTTTAAAATAAAATTACATTTTTAGATGCAATCTGTGAAATCATACCCCAAGCTGTCATCACGATAGTGACAGAATCCATTATTCATTGAATTTAGGATACAAGAGAAAAATTGTACGAAATGTTCCTTTCGACCGGAAGTTCCTAAATTGAATAATGTGTAACCATCTAAAGGTGGGAAGCCAACTGAATACTGTAGATTAATCAAAAAGTTACATTTAACACGGTAGATAACACAAAGTAAAAGTGAAGAACGCTATGAAAAAATTTTACTCATATCTCTGCAGTACAGTTTACACTAAGTCTTCAACACACTTACTGTATTTAGAATTCAAGTGGAAACTTTGAAAGTTATAAGCCAAAGGTATGCATTGACTTCATAATATTTTAATAACTGCACAGCAACTGGGAATAGACTAGTGGTGAACTTTGCTCAGGTACACCACGATTATTTTTTACTAATCTAAATTACCACAATTATAGACTAAGAAACTACATATATAACAACAGCGGATAAATTTCGTACTCTTCACAGCTAACTGCCAAACACCATAATGAAGGTAAGTTAAACTGATTTTGTACAAATTATCTTCTGTATCATGTTGTCGGTAGATAAATAGCTTGAGTTATCTTCAAAGAACTTACTAGTCGTACGTACGCAACCTTTTCATAACGCTCAGGCTTAGGAGGGAAAACTGTGGAATCTATTGAACGTTGCATACGCTCCTTTGGATGCGTATCGATTGGCTCTACTGAAATAAGAGGATAATATACTAAGAATTGTTAGTTACAGTCGTGATAAACCATCTTCACTCGTACATCTGCAACCGGAACTTTGTATATTTTCTCCAAATACTGTCGAACATCATTCCCAGTCATCCTGGAATTATGAACTATTTGCTGCTTACTGTGGATGAACTTTGAAAACAACGTGGTCAGGAGGATTTTTTGGGCCAGGATACATCATTTTCATCCAGAACGGGGGTAGGAAACAACGTACAGGTGGATCCCCCGGAAACACTTTCGGATACTCCACCTGTCTCATCCATAAAGGACTAAAACTCAACTCCCAAAAAGGACGCCTACAAATAATGTTTTGTCTTCGGGAGACATATTGGGCGGATAAAAACCACTGGTCGTATCGCCGCCATTTGAACCAAGCTCGTTTCAATACACAATGTTCCCAGATGATCTTGTCTTGAATAAATCCTATGACTTTTTGGCGTCTCAGTCTTGCTATTTCAATGCGTCTCTAGGCTTCCAGTGGGATCCAGGGTGAAGTTAAAGTACCATAACTAAGGCCGAGGTCTTTCAAGATTTGGTCTTCAAGAACCAATCAGATACAGGTCATTCCAAATAAAATTATGCCTGCCTTTCTGGAATTGGAGAAGACAGATGCAGTATTACTTTTATTCTTTAAGTATTTCTTCTGTTAATATATGCTGTTAGGCAGGCTTAGGGTCTTTTAGATTAGGGTTTAAGGTCAAGGTTAGGACTAGGATTAAATTTGGGGTTAGGAGTTAGGTTAGATTTCAATAGTTTACACATTGTGTGTAAATTATTGAAATATAATTATACTTTATTTGATCTAATCCACAATGCTCAAACTTTTTACTGATATTAGGAGTTAGGATTATGGTTAGAGTTAGGAGTTGGTCAAAGAGAAGAATCAGAAAAATCAAAAGACCTCAAAGTACCATGACCTACAAACACTCGGATGAATGCATCTATAGCGCATGGTATGATTTCCCCATAGATCATATCTGTAGTGACTGGGAGAAATTCTTGCAAAACATAAGCGGAGACTATATGGTATTTTATATCATGTTCGCAACGTTTTTAGTGCATTTTTCAACGATCATTTGACATTACTGCATCTGGATTCTGGTTGGTCACTCACGGTGCGGTAGTTTTAATCATAATAGCTTAACTTTGCCAGTTCCAGTTCGTTCTAACCTCTGGACTGCCTCAGAGGAATAAATTAAATTAGTATGTTTTGAAGGGGACCTAGTCGGGGAGCAGATGGGTAAATTCTGGGAAAATGAGCAAATTCAATCATGTGAGCCGCAAACAGAAAGTGAGTTGTCACTGTTTTGCCTATTCTCTTGAAAAAGTAACTACACACTTACTCAGCTTCTTCACATTTTCGACCTTTAATATATGTGTAAAACTTGGGCATTGTGGTTGTAAGTAATTCCACATTAGTTTGTTTATTAGATGTATCACACAGTGAAACAGTTGCCCAGTTTTGTCACGCCACCAGTGTGAATTCGAAGGGATATCAAACTGCTTTTCCCTTCATCGAATTTTGAACGGAATGATAAACACGTTTTTACAAACTTTACAGATGTTCTGGAAAAAGTTATTTGACCGGAAATGAGTGAAATGTGTATTGTAGTCTCTTGGACTCATAGGTTTCATTTCGCCTAGCAAATGTCCAGTTAGGTTGTCAGATACTCCAGCGAAACAAGTAGTAAGCAAGTTGAAATGAAATCAGGGGAATGAACAGACAAATTAAATGGAAGGAAGCGCAAGAGGATTAAATTTAGGATATGTAGGCCGGTTGAAGCACATACGCGAAAGAAAAAAGGATAAGAACAGAAAGAAAATATTAGTGGTTCTGATAATAGGAAGAAAACCAGGATAGGATAGTGAATTATTTAAAAATAATTGGAGAGATTCAACATCACACCCACCACAGCAGACAAGAAGCCACTTAAACGAGTGAACTAAAACAATACCGGATGCTGAGGTCTCGGTAGTAGCTAATACATTCTGACTCCATTTAAAACACAAATATCTAGCATATGGAATATTCTATGCATTTGGTTCAAGTCGCATACAAGTCTACATTTCCTAAAAATTCTTCCTAATATAATGGGTAATACTGGTATGAGTACCACAATAAAAAATCAGAAAACTTGGTACGGATATTAGTGAAAGTTTCCGCAAGCCTTTTAACCTATTACTGAATAACAAGGGAGAGAAGACACTATTCCTGACCTCGCATTTAAGATCAAAGGCAGGAAGATAAAAACAAAACAAGAAGTTTGGTGAAGAGTATCTTTTAGTGAACAACCTAGCTGCTTTACTCACTCCACTGTGCTTCTCTGGTCCTTTATGACTCATATATCCTCTCAAACACTTAGGCAGCCTGAAATTCATCTGTCTCTTTGCGAAACCTCATTACCACCACCTTTATTCAACTTCTCACACGTACTGATTACTACCAGCAACTATTCTTATTATGATTCATCCCTCTTTTACGCTATTTTACAAGCAAGGAAAATGTATTAGCCGAAAAGACAGTCTTCATTAAACTACTTGTCTCGTTTTTATTAATGCGCAGATGATAATTATTGATGAATTAAAAAGAAAGATAATCAGTTTTAAATTACCATTAAAGGACAGAACTGAAAGAGAAGCTGCAGCTGCACTGGTGGTTTGATGGAGGTACCCGGTTTTCTGGTTTGCACTTCTCGTAACTCCATGTTAGCAAGACCTATGTTCTCAGGGCGAACGCATTTGGCCCGAAGGAGAAGCCTCCTTAATTTAAAGAATTATCTAAATGGCTTCAACCTGACGTTACAGTGTAGTAAACTGAAGAAATTCGTCGATTCAATTTAACCTCAGCCGTTTCGTGTTGAGTGTTCAACTTGTTTGCCTATGGTGATTGAGTACTACTACAAACGATAGGGTTTTCACAGGACAATGGTAAAGTTGCTTCGTTGCGGTAAGGTTGTGTCTCACTGTTATCTGTTAATGTAATCATTAATCAGCACACCTTTGAGAGGCACTAGGTGCCATATTCTTACCTCAGTAGCTACGGTGGTGTTAAAAGAAATCTGGTAACCAGGTTAGTTAGGCCAAGCTAAAGAATCAGAAGGTAGTGTTGTCAAAGATCAAGTCCAGCAGGAAAGATTTCGGTACAACAGACACGAGCGTTACTTCTAGTCGAAGCGAAAGGATAAACGAGCCTGAAGTCGTTCCAGCAAAGTGATTAGCTGGCTGCATACAACGGCAAAAGCCGGAACGTGCCTACTAGTTATATCGAACCTCTGAAATACGTGTCAACTTAGAATCTGTGGTATCTGAGGAGTTGAGGTAGCTGTTTACATTGGAGGCAACACGGAAATTAAATGACCGGTGCTAAAGTGTGATGGTGGCACCAGTGTTACTAATCTGAACAGATGTTTCTTAACGGTTGCAGTGATGCACAGAAGTTCCATTTTCCAAGCCTGTAACTCTGTGTCAGAAGCGGAGTACGGGAAATAATCGCTTAATAGTAAGTGACATTATCTCCCTACAAACCAAGGGGAAGGAATTAATATTCAATAGACTATGCAATTGTTTCAACAGGGAACGCTCTTTTACACCTAGCCGAAGCTGTGGGAATTCCAGAGAACAATCCTAGTCTTTGCATACAAAAGAAGTTTGTTCTACCTTTGTCTCTCCCTTGGCCTAGGTGAACTGTATCCAAAACCCTCCCACCCTTTCTTATTTTCCATCTCCTTCGTACTTTTATAATATGTATTTAAACTCTGATTATCGTTCCACTTCACCTTTTAAGATTTGACCTAATTTATTTATACACTTATATACATATACTACCTTTGTTATACTTATCACCTGCATAAACCTTATTATCAATATTTTGTTGTCATTATAATCATCATTATAAATTTCGTTCAAAACATTTACCACGTTATTATTATTATTAAGATTATTATTTGATTCCCAAAATCACCGTCATTGGTTAAAATTTTATATATAAATCTATGTAAATTACTGTAAAGCATGAAGAAGATTGAAAACAATATTGTTCGCTTATATGTCTTGTTCTAAAATACAATGCGTCACCATTGAAGAAATTTAACCAAAATGAGCGTCACATTTGGGGTTTGCGTTACTGGGAATGGGTATAGTAGCTTGTTCATATAGTGATAAAATTGTTTTCTATAACGTTAGTTAGTTCACCGATAATAAGATTTTTGGCAATATTAACTACCATTAACTCAGCAGAGCATTAAGTGTCCAGTTAAACGGACAAAAAGGTATTGTTGCATCAGCAAACCTACCACACGAACATTGAAAAAGGAGTGAATATTACACGCGGTTGTTTAAATTTGGCCTTTGTTGTGTTGTACGTTCCAAAAGTCTATGGATTAACTTTGAATCATTTTATCCTGATTGAAGTTAGTTTACTTTTCAGTTTTTTTATCCATATAATTATCGGAAGTTGTGTTTTTATAACTTCATAGTTATATAAATCTATTTCTGTACACTCCTTGGTTTTTTAAAACTGATTCATATAAAGGTTATATATAATGTCAATCAAAAGAAGATGGATGACCTATATAAAATATTTATGATAATTAATAAAATTAGATAAAATAAAGTGAAAAAAAAGTTTTGGAAACATGATTTGACTTTATTGGTAATTATCAGATTATCAAATTTTAGCCACATACTCAATTATAAGGTATGTGTACTCAACCAAAAGGATAGAGCCAGTGATTATGGTATGAGTGATGAGTGATTTTTAGATTAGTTTTTTTTCCTTCACGTTCCCCAGTGGACACATAGGGCTTCAAGCTAGTGACTTTAAGTTTCTGTAGCAGTGTTTAATTTTTACAGGATGAGGTTGCTAGCCAGCCTCATGCCCAACCTTTCCTCTTCACCAGCATTATTTCTGGCTTAGCGAGGTAAAGGAGTGCGGCCAGTGGCCGGGGATCGAACCCCGGACCATGTGTGTGGTCGGCGAGAGTCCTAACCGCTGTGGCACCGACGCACGTGTTTAGGATTAATAATCCCGTCGACCGGTAAAACGTATCAGCAGTGCGGATCGGTATTCTAGTTAACGACAGCTTTTTTTTAAGTCACTGAGCTACCAAAAATTTAGTTTTCCCTACCATCTATCAAACAAGCATAATACTAGCTTTATTCCAAACAATGTTTAGATGATGTACAAAAATTTCAGTAGAAATTATTGCATAATAGTTTCTGTCTGTCCAGGATCTTCAAGTGAAATAGTAAACTGGCAGGGAATCGTATAACACGTTGGTGTTTCACCTGAAGCGTAAACCAATCCCTTATGATGATATTTCTTCTGTACCTCCATCGAGAAATACACAACAGTTAGTAGTTGAAAGCCAATTAATAAAGGGGTGCAGGAATATATTTTGAAACCTAAAGAAATCATAACTGAATAAATGAAGACTGTCTGACTAGTTGACTGGTTTCATAATAGAACTTCGCACCGATGTGCAGTAGTTCAAGTCGCCACACTCCATGCAACACACAAAGCAAGAGAAGAAAGTAAAAGTTAGTGCAAAACAGTGACAGTAGACAGGGATATGAGACAAAAAGAATGGTAATATCGACGAACAATGTAGTTTCATTGTGTATTATAAGTCACAAGGAAT